AGAGTGGCCGGTACATGCGAGTGGAAGGAGAGGGCAGTGGTCAGATAGGGAGAATGTTCCAGGCATGGGAAGAACCACTGTAATGGACTTGAGGCAGTTTCAGGAATTGTTTACAGGAACTGATGGAAAACTGATGCTCCTAAATATGGAGATGGAGTGGGAGAAGCCCCAGGGCGGGGCTGAGAAGGGGGAGGCGGGGGCTGGATCCTGCACAGACTGCAGCAGTGAGTGGGGTCAGGGTGTCAGCTAACTGCAGTGGGGTCCTATTACAGGGCTTTAAAAAGGCAAGTCAATAAAGATTTAGACCTCATATGTGAAACCCAGAAATAGGTATCAAATAAACAATTTCTTCAGTTGAGAAAAAGATAAGCAGATCACATTTTAACCTAGTTATATGTCAACCTGACTTCAGAGTACAGACTGTACTCCCTCCCTCCTCACACCGGGGCCTTTCTGGAGTTGAGAGAAATATACCAGAAGCTTGTGAATAGTTAAGCATCAGGATGTAATTCTGGTTAGACCTGGTGATTCTGGGCTGTTTTCCTACTCTTTGGGTTGCCTACCACTGTGGGTTCCCGGGCACCACTGGGCAGAAACAGCTCTCACTGCACTGTTACCCTCCCTCCCCCACCGCAGAGGGTGCCTGAAAACTGTAAGGCTTTTAAAACTTCATTGAATCAGAAGAAAGCAGGATTTCTCCCTTGAGGTAGTTTATTTCGCTTATCTGACATCAGAACCAGCTAGGATTCTCGTTTCTTTAATTTAGCATCTGACTATTTACACAAGTCCATTTTCCATTGTGATAGGTAGTTCAAACAGGGTAAAAGGTCTCCTACACAGAGTTAATCAGGAACATATACAAATAATTACTAAACCAACCTCTTGATCAAGAACAGCTATTAGGTTCCTGTTTGCAAACCATCTCATGAAGGGCACACAGAGAGGGGCCCTGAGGAATGGGGCGGTAGAAAGCCAGGACCCCGTGTTGGAAGATTTGTGCATGAGACTTGCTGGCGTGTGACCTTGAATACGTCTCCTGGTGTGTCTGGGGGTAATTGCATAGATAAAGTTTGAGCACTGTGCTTAGTGTCAGGCAAGTGCTATAAAAAACAGTGGCTCATCATCACTAATCATCAGGGAAATGCAACTGAAAACCACAGTGAGCTGTCACCTCACACCAGCCAGAGTGGCTACCATCCTTTAAAAGACAAGAAACAACAAGTGCTGGTGAGGAAATGGAGAAGGGGAACCGTCCTACGCTCTTGGTGGGAATGTAAGCTGGTGTGGTCCCTGTGGAAAGCAGTATGGAGGTTCTTCAAAAAAACTAAAACTAGAAATACCATTCGACCCAGTAATTCCACTCCTAGGAATTTACCTGAAGAATTTACCCACTAGAATTTTACCAAAGAAAACAAAATGCTCGATTCAAAAATATATATGCACCCCATGCTTATTGCCGCATTATTGACAATAGCCAAGATATGGAAGCAACCTGTGTCCATCAGTAGAGGAATAGATACAGAAGATATGGTATATATACACAATGTAATATTATTTAGCTATTAAAAAAAAGAAATCCTGCCATTTGCAACAACATGGATGGACCTAGAAGGTATTATGCTCAGTGAAATAAGCCAGGTGGACAAAGACAAATACCATATGATTTCACTTATTTGTGGAATATAAATAAAAAGCAAAACAGAATGAACAGAATAGCAGTAGGTCATAGACACTGAGAAGTGACTGGTGGTTACCATGGGGGAGGGGTTGGAGTGCATGTGTGTGAGGGAGATAAATGGGCACAAAAATTCTCAATCACAATACAAGATGGTCACAGGGATGGAAATGCAGCATGGAGAATATAGCCAATGATTCTGTAACACTTCTTACGTTGACAGGTGGTTACTGCATTAGTGGAGGTAAGGATTTAATAGTGTGGGTAACTGGTGAGCGACTGTGCTGCACACTGGAAACCAACATAAGACCGTCTATCAATAAAAATGGTGGCTCATGATTGTTACTGTATTTGTCTCCTCAGAGAATGACAGTAATGCATCCCAGCTACAGAAGTAACAGAGTAGCTGAAGTCACTGCAGTACTTACATCACTTTGGCAGGTGTAGAGAATTGTTAGGATCTAAACACCAAGGGCAGGAAATGTGAGAAATTCAAAAGAGAAGTCAGACATTTTTAAGGACAGGAAAAAAAACATGAGAAATATGGAGGGCAGCAGCTTTTAAAACAGAGTCTGCTTCATGGCCTTAAATTTTGTTTTGTTTTCAAAATAAGTATCATATCTAGCTTTCATAAATAGATGTAAGTGATCTCTGCTGAGAGAGTTTTATGGTCTCAAGTGAACATCAAGTCAAAACGTCAACCTCTAGAGTAGGGAAGAGGCCTGGGAGTGCCAGTGGCAAACTCTTTCGAGATTTCTTTGTTACAACTGTAATTAGGAACAATCAAAAAAGAGTGGTAGAAACAACAGGAATGTGCTCAGAATTATGGGGCAGAGGACTCAGGGCGAGATCATGTATCACTTTATGGGCTGTATTCTTTGAGGACTACTAATACAGATTTTTTGCTGTGGTTTTTTTTTTTTTTTTGGTAATTCTGTTTAGTTCTGTTGTTTCAGCTACCATATAACATTGGGGAGCCCAACTCATTGGGGATAAGATTAAAGCAATCCCTCTTCCCACTGGTGATTTTGAAAACCTGAGATGTGAGGAGGAAGAGGACCTGTTTGATCCACACATTTGGAAGCTTTGAGCAAAGAAATGGGGTTAGCTGAAGAGTGCATTTTTATCTCCTTGAAGAGTAGGATATGGTATTCAATGAAGTTAGTGTGCTGGTTGTGTATTTTTAAAAACACTAATTAAGATAAATATGTAACTGTTACAGATAGCCAGCCATGAACAGAGAAGGGGCTGGGGACACTGGCACGAGTTTACATTCGGTTAGATGCTTGTTTATACCCTAAACAGCGTGAACTGTTCTCCGGGATGTGGGGAAGGGAGGGTGTAGATACCGACCGGCCAAAACTGACACGTGGAGAAGTGGACCCTGACTGCATCTCAGAGAACATCCTAGGCTGATTAACATACTAAAATCACACCCCTTGGGCAGAACATCAAAGGACAAAAGGGGGGCATCACGTTCTTTCCCGGAAACCCCCTCCCTATTTCGAGAAAACCCCACCAATCCCAGTGAATATTCTGCCCTGCTCAGGCCGCAGCTACAGGACCACGGGCCCCGACCCGGCCTGCAGCGCACTCTGGAGCCGCCGGCAACCCCCACTCTAGTGTGCGCTTTCACCTTATTACACTGCTCCTTGCACCTGTTCCACCTGCCTGAGAATTCTTTCTCTGTCAGAGTTAACAGCCCCTCCCCAGCTGAGGTCTCACCCAAACCAGGAAGCTCTCCTTGGGCTGGATTTCCCAACAGCTTAACTATTAAAACAAATAATGCTCATCAGTGCAGCACCTAAACACATCTCAGAGGCTAATTTTTGTAAAATTAGTTTCAAGGCATCAGAAGCAGGAAACAGTCAAGGGTGGAGAGTTCTAGAAACAAAGAAATAGCTAACAATACACAGTGGGAGGGTGATGAGGACTGAGCAATGGCCACTACATGCTTGTAGGATGTTTTCCGGAGTAAAAGGGGCTATTTTAAAGGGAACTTAACCCAATGACTCACATAATACTTGTAACTGCAAAAAATTCCTTCCTTCAGAGAAAAGTAGAGTTATTAAGCAAAACTGAAATATGTCTAAGGAACTGGTTTGCTAAACACAATTGTAAAACAATAGAATAAACTAGGCTGAACTGTATGATAAATATGTAGCCTATCCATTTATTTTCATTCAAACTGCAAAGGTACATTTATTATTAAAACCAAGTAACTTTAACCAGTGGGAAGAATCTCGTATGTCATACTTAACGTGGAAGGAGAATGACTGTGTGGATATTTTATCCTCACGTGCAGGGCCGTCTGGATTTATACATACCTGAAAGCAAGCTTTGCATTTCTTGGACTTGAAAGTGAGTATTATCAGGATGGCTTCCCAGAAATACTTAAGTAAGAGAAAAGTTGAAAGACAACTTCTCCTATTATCGTCAGAGGAATGATTTACACAGCATGGCCCCACCCCATTCCCTTCCTCTTTTTCAGGTAACCGAATGGAGCACTGTTGTCCAGATCAGCAGAGAATGAGAGACATTCTTGCATCACATCACCATTTTGCGGCAGTTTGACACTGGGGACCGAGTCCTGTGTTCGCTGGAATGCTATTGAGCTCGGTGCCATTTAGATGAGTTTCCCCTTTAGCTGTGATAAAAACAAGGGTATGGCTTCTGTAAGGGAGCAAATTTTGCCACCTCAAGATATGTCTCATTGGCATGCTGGTTACTTTTAAGAAACTGCAGAAGGAAGCTCCTCTTTTGTAAGAGACATTTACATGCATAAGGGAATCTCCACTTGTAAGAGTGTCTCCCTGCTATACCAGGAAGGGTGACCTAAATCTCCAGAAACTCTTACCAAATGAGAAGGTAAAGATTGACACCTGCATGACCTTCCCCTTATTGACTGGAAACACCCCATAAGTGACTCCCAGCCCCCAGCATCTTTCGTCTTTAGCTGAAGATGGTATTTAAGGAGATGCCTTGACATTTTGGGGAACTATTCCTGAGTTTTCCTGAGTCAGTCCCATGCATGCACAAGGTAGGCATGTAATCAAACTTCTGTTTCACTTTCTCCCATAACTCTGCCTTATGTCTATTTAATTCTTAGACTACCTAGAAGAACTTTGAATGGTAGAAGACAACTTTTCCTCCCCAACAATTCTATGTATCCAAAAACTAACATCACAAAAGATGTTTCCATTGAATTAAAAAGTGTCTGAGTGACACCTCTGGCACCCAGTGGCTTTGTCTGGCATTGAGACTGGGTGTCAAGAGACCAGACTGTCCTCTCAAGGGATGGTCAGGCAGGCAGACCCGCACTAACCATGAGGGGCTGCTCCGGAGCATGCTGACATACATCCCGATGAGAACGTGTTCATCAGCTAGCCTGTCTGCCACGTTCAGACGGTACTGTGTCCTGAAACGGGGGGAAGGAAGGGCATTGGGCGGAGAGGCAGACAGCAGGAGGAGAGCAGGCAGCAGTGGGTTTGTGGTAAAAAAGGCATTTAAAAAAGCAAGCAAGTAAGGGAAAATAAGTGATGGTCTATGAAAACCACAGCAAAATCCAAGCAATGAAATTCACAATTCCATTTCAATAACTTTAAAAGTAAAGGCTTCCATTTAGGTGAAGGAACTTTTAAGAAAACAGGTTTGCATTCTCCAAACCACTAAGGCCAAGAAATTCATCTGTACAGTAAACACACTGAAATGGGCTGCAAGCAAAGATTAAGTGTCCTTTGGAAAATCAAATCTGAAGCTTAGTCACTTAAAGACAGCAGGAAACCAGGGCAAGTGAGTGACACAGATGGATCTGCTTGATACACCTGCCCGTGCTGTTAATGGGTGACCACAGACTCCCCACCAGGGCAAAGAGGGGCTCACACACAGCGTTCCTGACACAAGCCTGCATGTTTAGTCCCGTTAACTCGGGCTTCCAGCACACTCCAGCTCTGACTTACCCTTTGCCCTTCAGAAAAGCTGGCACAGCCCTAGCCAGCAGTTTGCTCTGTTCTGCGTCAGCGTCCTTGGGAGGAGAGCTAGTCAGCGAGACAGGAAAAGCGGGTCAGAGCATAGACCCAGCAGTGCACTGCCAGGCAGGACTGAAGCGGGCACGCTACGCCCACACCCGAGCTGCGCTCGGACGCCTGCCTTGTTGCTCAGGAGGAGCTCAGGATGCTTCCGATTTCCACAGAGCTGAACCAGAAGTGGAAGCCTGGCCTGGGAGCCACAGCCACAGTCGCACAAGCCTCTGGGAGCCCCGACTTGGCCTCTGCTCTTTGCTTCACATATGCCATCACATATGCCCAGCCATCATGAAGATGTGTTCAGCAGTCACTGCAGACTGCCATGCAGACGATCCAGTGGTTCGCTGAGTCCTTCCCACCTTCCCACCCCGTTCAAGAAGTTCACTTCTCCAGCCTTGCCTTTATATTCGCCAACTTTCTGGGTTGAAGAGGCTTAAATTCCCTCGTTAGAGGCTGCGTATTGGAAAGGCTATACTGTGGAGGCACATGCTCCCTGGCCTTGGCTGCGAGACTGCCAAGAAAACTTTCAGAGGATCAGAAAAATAAGCCTTTGAGCTTTATAAATATAAATTCATACTCCTGTGCCTAAAACTGGTCCCATCAGTAAGCAAGTTCTCATGATGTCAGATTCACTATAAGGAACATTCATTTTACTTAGTAATTTAAATGGCAGTTTTAAATGTTTAAAATGTAGTTTTATAAAAGGACAAATATAAATAACAAAGTGTGGTTGAGCTAGTCACCCGAGATCTACTAGCTTCCCTGGAAAACAGTGTTAATTCCTGATACTACAGTTGTGCTTGTAATGTGCTTAAAGGGTTTGCTTCTTTGCAGGTTGAGAATTTCCTGTGCAACACTGGTCTTCCTAAACTATGCCCCCATCCCCGCCTTCATGGAGAATACAAAAATTGATTGTCCTACTTTGAATACCAAATTTTAATTACTGGGATTAAAATTTTGAAGTTTAACCAAACTTTTTGAGAAGTTCTAAATCTTTCATATATATAAAAGAATATCTTATATATATAAATACTTTATATATCTATTAGGATGGCCTATAACGTAATCAAAATCTAAAAAACTACAAATTTTAAGGATTTACTATATAGTAACACTCAGAACATGAAGCACAAAAATAGAAATTTGTATACCACATTAGAACTATGCACATTAAAATCAGACTTCTTGTTTTATAACAGCATCTACTACAAGACTCCTTAGATAGTGAGGTTTAGTAAAGTTAAAATCAAATTTGATTTATAGAGAAAATGACTAGGGGAGAGTAGACACTCATGTTCGGTGAATGTAGGCGCTATCCAGCTTTTCAGGAACGAACCCGTTATAAAGGGTTGCTGCACTTCCGAAGTACAGCTGCACACATAAAACTGACCTTAAAAATGGGGTGATTAATGTTCTAGGAGAATTTACTTTCCGGATGGACCTAATGATTTTTTTCAGCATACTGACCTCCACCTTCTAAGCTGGGAATCTGTGCACCTTCTGCCATCGCAGTGGGCGTTTTCCCATCACCCACCACCAATGCAGCGTCCAAGCCGCGTCCCAAAGAATATCCCGCTCTACCCATTTCCCAGTGACTATGCCCTGCGGCTCGTGACACCCGCCCCGTTTTTCATAATTCATGAAAGCCGTGCCTACCATATGATCGGTCTTGGCAAAACCACTCGGACTTGAGAGCTATCAGTGATTCTTCTCTGCAAACTAAACGGTCTGGTTATGGTTTCTTACCCCTTGAATCCCAGAAATTGGGGTGCTATTTCCTTATAATCACACAGACACGACCTCTGACGCTCAACATGTGAGAGGGAAAGGAAGACACATGAGCAAGGAGTCTCCGCGGGGACCCCCAGGCCCGGGGGTCTGAGACACACACCATGCGGTGGCCCAGGGGGGCCCTCGGACACTGAGGCACAGCCGCTCCGGGCCGGGCGGGCCGGGGCAGTCGCCCGGCCTTCCTTCAGGGGCATTGTGCTCTTTCCCCAGTCCCCTGGGCCCCTCTCTCCTTCCCCTACCTGGTCTTCCTCCCCATCTGTCCACTTACTTTTTCTCCCTTCTCCCTGAATCCCTCCTCCTCCCGAGGGATGCGCGGCGTCCCATGCACACTCGTTCATTTTCTTTGCACTGGGCCCACCCCAAGGCTTGTTAGAAGGAATCATTCATGTTCTTTTCATGTTCCTTTCCCTTCCTGCATGAATTTTTGGGAAAATCAGCTCTTGGAAAATATGGGAATTCCATTACCTGCATTTAGGAGTTTGTAGAAATAAACTATTTATTTCATTTTGCTGCAACTCAGAGTATCCGTGCCTAGAGCATGCCTGACTTAGGGTGCTCAGTGAGCATGAGCTTTTGTACCCCCAGAACGAGCCTTAAGGTCTTCTCATTGCTTATTTCTGAGAAGCCAAAACTGTGACCATGTGCAGAAGAACCAAACTCACGATGAAGAAGAAAAAAAGCCACTTTTTAAATGAAATGGATCAAGAACTTAGACTTGACCGGGAGGCAAGTTTCGCTTAAAATGTGAGTCTTTTCAAGACTTGAGACTTTTCATGAGCAGCGCCTTCTCCGGATTTCCCAGCAGCTCCCAAGGAGCTTGAGGAAGGCAATTGCAAAGTGAGAAAGTTTCCTCCTGAGCTGCTGTGGAGATAGTGGCAATATGCAGATTATCATTTCTTCAGAGCAATGTATTCCCACGACATTCTATAGGATGTTTTTGATTTTTAAACTTTCATTTTGTAGTCTGGCAGTTTGTGTGGAGCAGTTAGGTGATATTTCCAATTCACCAGGGCCTGGGATCTGGCGTCCTTACTAAGAAATTAGTGCCTCTGGCGGGTCAGTGTGTCTGGGCTCAACTACGGCTTTCCAGAAGCTTCCTCCTGCGCATGCCTCAACTGAAACACATTCTGACTTTGACCTCTGCACCTGGGAGCAGCTGCGGCTCCTCGTGGTGGTGGGTGATAAATGTTATCTGATCTTGGTCCCGAAGAGAAGCGAGGCCGAAGAGAAGTGAGGCCGGCATCCCCAACGCACATGCGCACAGCTTCTTCCTGGTCATTGTCCTGCCCCAGACGCTGGCCAGCTCGTAAGCGTCAGCACACCCTTCACACACACCCTCATCAACAGTGCTGGCAATCACCCCCGGAGGGTATGACAATGTTCATTCTGCAGTTTCTATGTTCTGCTGGAAAAAGAGCCAGGGAATGCTCCTTCAGTCTATTTTTCTCTAAAAACATCTATTTTCTCACTATTCCTTTTTAAGACCTGAAAATTAGCATCTATTTAAAGATAAATGGCCTTCCTCCAAAGTTTGCACACACACACACTCACACACCCAATGGGTTCTGGAAGGGTAAAACGATTTCAAAATATTTCATATTTATTTAAAACTCACCCTGTAGTTCTGAAGGGTGACAACTGAGGCCAGTATTTTTGCTTAAGTACAAACATTTTTGGGGTGTTCTAAGGTAACAAAGCCACACACAAATGCTCCTTTTTGCTTAAATCTGAGATATAGGTTTAAATCTTCTGTTTATGCTATGTAACTCTATTAGCTCTGGTCAAAAATTTCTTTTATTGAACATGAAAATAAAAGGATTTAAATAAAGGTCCTGGATGCAGTCTCACAGAGCAACAGTATTATATAAACAAATTATGTCAGATGGAATAATTACTATCACAATGTCAAATGGAAAATATTTGAACCATGGGAAATTAAAAACAGGTATTTTCATTTTTATTGATCTTAAATAATTGATAAATGTGTGGTGTTTGGACTTTTGAAGAACGACTTATTATAAAGTCATCTCCTTCCTCAAATAACTGTTAATTGCAAATAAAATCTGCTTCACTAGAAACAAGGTCATCAAACTAACTTAAATACAATAAAGAGTCCACAAGTCAGTTTTGTCAAGAGATACTTTCTGGAAAAGTTCTATTTCCCTCTCCCTTTTTGGCTTCCAACATCTTCCATCTGTAACACAAATGTCTTTCATGCAAACCTGTGAACAAGCTAACAAACAGCTCAGTGTCTCGATGGGAAAATTAGTTGTCATTAATTCAGGCTGGTGTGAAAGTCGAATGGTCTTAAGCAAGGACTGCGGAAGAAATAATAATTCATAGGTCATATCTGACTCACCACATTTGATATGTGGTCCCCCTGATGTCACCAAGCTGTATCAGCTGTATTTTCCCTGAGTGCCTCTAGAAAAGTTTGCTGGGTGCAGGGCATGCACAGACAGCTGAGGCAGCTCTAGTAAGGGAAGAAACCTTATTGAAGGGAAGCAGAGAGGTAACTGCAACTTTAATTATGCTCTAAAGTTTTGTCGTGGAAGGGGACCTTTGTGTAAAGACCAGTTTGATTCAGGTTTGAAAAAAAAATCTAGCACGTTAGTGGAGCTCTGGGTCTACATGGAATAAAGTGTGGTCTGCAGAGTAATTATTTCAAATTTCATGAAATTTCAGACAACATGCCCAGAAAGTGTAAAGAGGAGTGAAGAAATCTTCAGGGTTGTTTATGTATAAATTTAGTTACTCTCCTTACTGAAAAGGAATGGATTTTATCTTAGAAAAATTAATCATGGAGAAAACTTTATTTTCAGAAGTGAAGGATGAATTCAGTGCTTTGATTTTACTTTATTCACTTTTAATTACCACAGCACAAATGCCCAAATCTAGTTTGAACATTTTATCAGATTAAAAATCTGACTTGTTAGGTAAAGAATCTTTAGGCAAGCAAAGTATTTGAAGAAGGCACAGTGAATTAGCCTCTCTGTGGTTAAAAACCCAAGCCAATCAACCAACAAAAATAACTCACAAATGCTACTCCACTGGGGAGAATCAGGATTTGGGGGGTGTTTGGGGTAGGTGGTATGCCTTCCCATACACACTATTGAGCCCAAATGCAGTATTGATAACTAACCACATGTTATTGTGACAAACCAGAAAACAGCATATTGGACTGTGTATAACACACTCATTTAATCCTAAGAAATTTTCTGACGCTTGGGTGGGTGGGAAGAGCTGGCTGTGTGCTACGTATGAGAGCCGAAGTGATCCCATTGTGAGTGGTTGCTGCTTTAGAGCCCGTGTCTATGGAGATACCCAGGAAACCTTGGAGAGAGCCTTTCAAACTTTCAGAATATTCTTATTTTGACTAAAGAAGAAGATGGCCATAATTACAGGAACTTAATTTTACATAAGAAAGGACTGGTTAGGTCTCTCACATAAATGAAGCAAGGGTTTGGGCAAGATAATTAAGATCTCACAAAGGGAGTGTGATGCCATGAACAGTGACAGAAAGCCTGGGGCTCAGGACTGAGGGGAGGAGGGAGGGCATGGGCCTGGGCGGTGGTGCCTCCAGGGGGAAGGCTGCCCTTCATGGCCTTAGCGCTGCCGGCCCGCCACCAAAGCCCTCGGTGCTCTTCTTCTAGTGGTGATGACACATTTCCATCGATGCGGCCATATGTCCTATAAATTCATGCATATGAATTTATAAGGAAGTAACCTAGGTTTATGAACATTATGATCAAGAAAATGAGTGAGGTGAATCAGTCCGTGAATTGTGTTTTTTGATCCATGTTGTACTTAATTTGTAACCGGCAGTGAATGTGTGCACACACTTGATGGCTCGCATGAAGAGAATTCAGAGGATCAAGGGGAGCCTCTGAGCATTCCCTCTTTTCTTTTAAGTAAGGGAAAGCTGAATCCAGTATCTAGCTAGAAATGGGTAAAAGAATAGGAGCTGCGACAGACAGTGGTGGTAGCCGGAGTCACACACTTGTGAATCTGTGTGAGGAGATCACCAGGGGTGATCTTCAAAGGTGCATCCTTGTGCCTTCTGGAGATCAAAGTGGCATGCTCTGAAGGACTAAGGGGACTGTGCAGTGAGGGCTCCAGAGTGGCAATTTCAATTCATCCTCATTCTGCTTTATCTTCCCAAGAAAGGTCACAATACAGAAGCACAAAAACTCAGGCTGAATGAAACATCTGCACAGCAAACTTCCCTCCTCTCTTAATGCTCCCTTCGCACTGACCAGTACCATTCCTGGCTTGTTCAGGTTTCAGGTTTTACCTGATGTTAAGAGGGGCCACGGGGGTGGTATAGGAGTGAGAGTGGAGCTCTAGGTCTGATTTCTTTGGTTCAGTCCATCGTAGGAAGAATAGGACCTTTAATTTATGTCTACTTTTGGTATGAAGGGTTTCCATGGGCCTTAGTGTACACACAGAAGTAAACAGTGGGTTGCCACTCACATTATCAAGTGGTACAAGTTGAGCATAAAGAGCACAAGATTGGTTTTGAAATTCTACTTGGGCAGGAATCAGACTGTCCTCTCTGGGGAAGACACCCGGGCCAGGGCCCAGAAAGGTGTGAATTCTCAAGTCTTGTACTGCAGTATGAGGGGGTCTCCCCCTACTCATGCTAAAAATCATTCCAAAAGGCTCTTTAATTCATGTCTACGAAATCACCACTTGGGGGCTTGCAAAGCAGAGAGACTCGTCCAAAGCAGAGGATTTGGCTCGGCACTCTTTGCACATATGCCTCCCATGTACACGCTGCTGCACGGCCATGAAATCAGTAAAGCAAGTGGGGGAGGGAGGTGAGTGCTAAGAGGTCCAGCTCCCGGGGGATTCTCCAGAGAGTCTGAGGAAGCCCCAGGAGGCCTGTTTCCACCAGACACCCCTGGGGTTAGTGGTGGGGCAGAATGGCCCACGGACCGGCTGGGACCCGGCGCAACACTGACCATGCCATGGCCACGCGGGCTTCACGGCTTTACGAGTGGAGCTCCTCAGCTGACCTGAGGGGTAGCCCAGCGAGACCTCATCTAAACCTCCCATGGACAGAGCAAGGCCCACTCAATGAGGAAAGACATGCAGTGTATAGCTTTATTGAACAGACCCTTACAGCAGAAACCAGAAGCCAGTCTCCAAGATGATGGAGCTGCAGACTTAAACCACGTGTCTGCATTCCAAAGGGACTGAACGTGGGAAAAGGGAAATGATCATGCACTCTGGGGAGTGTGAGAGGGCATTTCAGAGGGGGCCGTGTTCCCCATCTAGACGTGTCTGCCATAAGCACCGTCCAAGCTGAAATGATACAAAACGACCTCAGTAAGGATGGGGTCTATCTCTGCTTGGGGTCTGCAGAAGGCAGAGCTTCCTAATAAAAGCACGACTTTCTCAAAGAATGCTAGACCTTCCCTGGAGAGACGCACAGGCCTATGTCTCTTCCAGGCTTTACAGTCGATTTTGTTTCTGCAAAGGTGGTCTGAACAGGAGAGCTTACAGGGTCACACTGAGGGCCTAAAGTGTATTATTTAAAGGATGTTCTGCAGTTCAACTGTCGCCTCATTCCCACTGTTTGCAGACCTGCTTAATTAACAGGATTGAGAGACTATGAACTGCCATGTTCTGCTTATTCTGCGAGTTAGAATAAAGGGAACAGCATCATTTCGGGTTCCTGCTGATGGGCAGAAAGTTTGCAGGAACTAGGGAAAAGTCAGCAGGGTTCCGAATCACACAGTTTGCAAATCAGCTGGAATGTGCCAGGGGATCACACTGAGATTGGGACCTCAAAACCTCTTCAGGGAAAAAGACTGATCATGTTCATTTTATGAAACATGACATGGTTTTTTGTTTCTACCTAGAGTCATTTGAAATCTTTTGTTCAGTTCTTTATCCCAATTTTCTTACCCACATCTCTGCCTTCCTGGGAGGTTTGCCTTGTATCTGTGACCACCTGGCTCTTCATTCATGACCTCTGACTGAATGATGTGGTGCCTCGGCCCTGCGTCCTGAGCACGCTAGTTCTAAGGGAATCACCCACTCACCCGCTCTTCGCCCACATGTAAGTGGATCTTGGTGCAGAAAGATGAGACACATATCCACCTTTTTAAAAATAAGTTCTTGTTATTACCCGTGAAATTACTTATGTGGAAACTACATTTCCGAGTTTGGTCTTCAGTCTCAGGGACCCCAGAGCTCAGAGCTCACCAAGAGAGGGCTCTTAAATATCTTTAGCTTTAAATTACAAGATGGTTCAGAATGAACATAATAATCCCCCAGTGCATCTTGAAATCCCAGTTCCCTGGCTTGGATGGGCCATTCCAGGTGTCCTGAGAGCGGCTGGCCATGAGCGTAGCACACCCGTGTCCTCAGGGCAGGGACCTTGCAGAGTCCCGGACGTGACGCGACCCCAAAGCCACCCCTGCTGTCTTCAAACGCCTCCAAATGAATGAAATTGAAAGCAGATACCTACAAACTAGTTTCTGACCATAATATTCCATACTTGGCTGCCATTAGAATATTGGTTGTGGCACAGAATCAAGGGTTATGGTTAAAGAGAGGACTTACTTCATGACAGGGTCAGGGCTTACCTCCTGGCCACGAAGGGGCTGCCCGAGGCGGGGACGGAGTGGGAGAACAGGGCGTCGCTCACGCCGGTCGCGGGTCTGGGTGGCCTGAAACAGAGCAAGGCGTGTGCGGGGCGCTGGAACGAGGGGGTCGTGGGCAGAACCCACCCACCACCCCTCAGGCAAAGGGGCCGGGAAGACCTTCTATTTTACACAGGATCAACATGCAACTTTTTATTTCCCAATTACGTTGTTTTAAGAGTTTTAGGAAGCTACATTTCCCCGAGAGTCAGAATCTCCATACACGGAGGAAGACCTACGGCCGCCCCGCGCTCCGAGCTCTGAGCCGCGGCGCTTCCCTGAGGCCTCACTTCCGAACGGGTCTCCAGGGCTCCAGGCGGCCGCACACGGGCCGCCTTCCAAGGAAGGCTCCGGGCGCTTCGGAGGAGGATTCCCGAGGCCCGGGCCTGCCTCCTGAGCTCCCTGGACAGGCCTTCCCCCGACACGCCTCCGGGAGGGCTCCGCTGCAGAACCATATGGCGCCCCATTTGTTCCCTGTGCTAAGTGAGGTTGCAGGCGAGCACCTCAAGAGTTTGTGTGCCCTGGGTGGTCCGTGCCACAGGGCACACAGTGCAAGACATGCCACAAACCTTACTTTCTCCATATGTTGAGAGGAAGAAAACATGTTCAGTATTCCTCAGATTGTCTGTGGCCCTGACCCCACCTGTTCCAGGCCTGTCACCCACTCTTATTTTCATGTCTGCCTGTCATTCTGTCCTATCAATAATGTCTCAGTTCAGGCAATGTGACAGAACTAAGATTCCTATCTCATCCCCAAGAAGTTTTTAGTCTTATTTTAGGTTTCCTGTAACATATCCCAGGGTAAAAGGAGAAGGGATTTAAAGTTCAGAAGATGGAGGATCACTTCGAGTCAGAGGAAATTTTGGTTCCTCTGTAATTTTATGGTTGAGTCGGACAGTGTAGACTTTTTGATAGCCAGGTATTAATTACTGTAACCTACAGAATCTAGTGCTGTCTTGATCAAGAGACACACATGTAATGGTTTAATTTGTAACTTTGGGAACCAGAGTGGATTTTAGATTCTAGAATGATGAGATCCTGGGGAAAAGTGGACTTGCTTATCCTGCTGTGTCTGTGGGAATGGACACAAGCTATGCAGATTTAAAAATGTCAGCACTGTATGCAAAAATTCGCTGTATGTTTGGTGTCCAGTACTTGTGCTAAATATGTTCTATGAGACCTATTTATTGCATGAGGCTGAAACAGCAGGTTTGCTATTTCATGTACTGTAAACTATTAGCTTAAGGCCTGAAAACTATCTTAATAGTGTTTTGTATTATTTATCTAGGATGTGTCCTTGACATAAGCGGCCAGTTTAAAATGAATTCTGCCTTTAGCTGAACAGGCTCAGCCTTTTAAGAAGGATGTTAATTTTTACCAATGTCCTCTGTGAATTTGGAAAAGCTAGTATATCAGACTTTAAAACACTGAGCAGAATGAAAGACTTTCCTTTTAGCTTTGCAAAAAGTTGAAGCATCAATTTGACCAGCATTTCTGGTTTTCTTTTGCCTTCTTAGAAAAATTCCTATCTTGCTTTATCTCTAGGAAATGAGAAAGTAGTGGATTTGAAATGCTTTTCCAATCCTCTGGTAAATTTGCTCTGTTGAGCTGGTCACTGCAAAGCTGAATTGAAGTTTCTTAGTAAATGGCTTCCCAGCTGAGGTCCATCATGGAAATGTCACACTTGGGACACAGAATGGCTAACCTTGGCACCAAGTGGTGGCTTGCAAAGGGACTAAAGTTCCTGTGTCTTCCCTAATCAAACGGCCGGTCACCTAATGTAATAAACAGAACACACTGGGAATTTTAAACTTATGTATTCTCATGAAAAAGAAATCTAGTTTTCTTTTTCCACATGATAAAGCCACAGGAGCCTAAAGGACAGTTTTCTTTCTGGACAAGACCTTTGCAGAGGACATTTTTATAAAGTTGGCATTCTTCTCATAAGGTAAAACTGTGCAGTTTAAGACAGAATTAGTTTTAAGCTAGCTTCATGTCACTTGTTCTGTGTCTTGTAACTGCTTATAAGTGTCTACAAGTACATTAGAGACCTTGAACTACTTACCAAGTATCACTTTGGAAAGCAAAAATTGAAGAGAATAGAGACTGTTAGTCATGACAGCATTTACAAGGAATGCAACAGCCAAGAAGAAATGCTCAAATATCAAAATGTTACCACTGAAGTGGCCTCCATGTGCCTATGATAGTTTAGAATAGCTAAACAAACAGCTTATTTTAAAATTAGAAGTGTTAGATATCCCCATTAAAAAAAAGACATACATATACGTTCAGGGCCATAACATTTGAATAACAAGTAGAAAAATATCTAAAGCTAAAAGTAAAAAAAATATTCTGTAATATAGACTGGACTTTCTGCATCCAGAAATTGTTGCATGTTATCTCAACAATTAAATATTTTGCACACTTTGCATTTTGAAATTAAGACAGTCACCCTGGAAAAATACATTAACCGTGGGTATAGATCAACATTTTGATTCAAGAACTATTTTGAGAATCTGGTGAAATATATGGAGCTTTTCTCAGAAAAAGGCATATCTGTGCAGAATTTTGAGGGATTCCTTAAATTGTCCATGGACCCAAATTGTGTAGCTATTGCCCTCTGCTCAGTGATTAACAGATCAGGTCATTTTGCCACTATAAAGTTAAAACATTTTTTACTCATTAGCCAATTAAATAGCACACACAGACATCTTCCAGTCCAGGTTACCGACTAGGTACAAGGCCCTGGGCTTGGTAAAACCTCCGGGTGACCGCCTGTGCAAATGGCTTTTAGTTTGCACTGCCTCACTTCCCAATTCTGTCTCCAAGGGGGAGGCAGCACCCTAAACAGATTCTATCGCAAAGCCCCGGGAGGTGGACTGCTCACACCCTCGCTGCCTCTTGCTCCCTCACTCCCTCACACCCTCACACCCTCACACCCATCTGCCCTCCGGAGGTGAAGCTCCTAGCTGGGCTGGAGGAGAGTGACTCTGTGGGGAGCTCAGAGAGCACAGACTCGCTCTCACTTAGCTGTGGTCATTCATTAACAACTTAGCGACTATCCCTGGCTCTGGGAGGGGAAGTCGGCACCTGACAAGAACAGCTTGAATGAGGTCACTTTCTGCACGTGACTGGCCCTTTGGGATAGTCCCCAGATTTATTTCCCCTGGTTTGTTTTATTTTTGGGAGCAAAATTCCCCAAACTAAGTGAAGCACACTGTACAGAAGTGGCTTATGTGGGTGTTCCAGGCACTTTGTCCAGGCTGGCAACCACAGCCAGCAGACTGTGCAATGCTGGGCGTGGCAAGCCCCGGGCCTGGTGTCTGTGCAGACAGGCCACGGCACATGCTGTGGGAAGGTGCTGCTGGGCCTGGCAGGGGAAGCCCTCCTGCCCTTACACGGCTCTCAGACCCACAAAGGGGTCTCCCACAGGTTGTGTCTGAACGGCCTGGAGCATGAACTCTGTGGGGGTAGGCCCCATCAGCCCCCTCCTGATGTCAGCATGCACACAAGGTCCCGCTGGACCATGTGGGAGGAGAGGGAGTTCTGGGGGCCATCCATTCCAGGAGCTTTCTGGAGCAGCTACCACATAATTCCTGATCGTGCATGGCAGCTTATGGGCTTCTTTCTTCTTCTGAGCCCAAGGTAACAGCAAGGAATAAACTTAACCTCGCCTAGGCCTGCGGCTACCCCGGCTGCAAGCCTTGAGGTCCTAGGACGTGGAAGGGATGCCTGGCAGCACCATCCCGGCCCAACCATCTCTGTCCACCAGACCACACATACTTTGGAGAAGTTTCTTAAAGTCTCTTTTGGGTGTTCCGATGAATTCCCCTCCTACCTTCAACTTTCCCCTGCACAGACTATGATTCTTCTAAAGTAACGTAGCTTGGGATAAAAACCCAACAATTTATAGTTTGCTGACATCTTTAAGATGACTGTCTCTGCAGAGAATCAAACAAGAGCTTTTATATTTGGGGCACAAAGCACATATGGTATTTAGGCATTTAAAAATTTTCTTACCATGGTAATTCCATTGATTTTTAATGTCCAATCATGCAGAATCCACTAACAGCCATATTTTATACCTGTGCTTTTTGGATATTTTCTACTTCTAGGTGAATTACACTAGGGTTGTGCACTTAACATGTGCATCCTAACAGAGGTACCTCTGTGAGGAAAAAATTATAATGACATTGCTTACACTCTTCTTTTAAACATTAAATTCTAAAACTTGGTCCTTGACAACTGACAAGAAATAGCCTTGTGGATCGGGACATGTGTCAATGAAGAAAAATGTCCCTTCACCTGGAGGGCAGGGAAACTCACACAATGTGGGCCAAGTTGAGTGGCTTCTCAGGCTGGTCAGGGAACATGGGGTGCAAAGGCTCGTGGCTGGAAGCACAGCTCAGGGACTTGCTTAGCGCATTAGTTAGCTTCTTAGCAGGTGATTTCTGGAAAGCAGACAGAAGGGATAAAAACCATCATGTATGGATCATGTTATCAGATGGTATGCTTTCATAGTAGACATACAATCACTCATTCAGTCGTGCAATCTTCCCTGAGTGTCTAAGCCAGGGTGCTGGCTCAACACCGGAATGGCCACGAGGGAGCCTGTGCCTGCTGCTTGCGTTGGCAGGTGCTATCATAAATGGGAGCAGTCCCTACCTCAGACATCTAAGCGAGGACTTAATGGGCCAGCAGGGTCCTTCTGACAAAACTCAGGAGCCTGGGAATAAGTCCAAATGGAGAAAGAAGAGACCATTCTGGAGAGGAAAATGGGAGGTGGATCATTCAGGTCCTGACATGCCACACAAGGACTAGTCTTCATCTCAAATACAGTGGGAGACAACAGAGAGCTTAGGCCACAGAGCTGATGGGACCTGATGCATTCTAGGACTGCTGGGCCCAACAGGAAGTGGCTTGGGAGGGGACAGCAGTGGGAGGAAGGAGAGGGACAGGGGTTTTCAGGAGTCCGTGTGAGAGGTTCAGGTGCGGCAGAATCCAGCCAGTTAAAAGTAAAGTGGAGCTTTCATATAAGTCTTCAGAACTCAAAATTTGTTTTCTTTCCGAGCATCATGAGATTTTCTCATTTAGACTGATGGGATGTTTACCTTAAAATTCCACAGCCAAAATAATAAAAAAAAATCTACTGCATTTAATAAACCCTTACCCACATTTTTCCTTCCCATGAGAAGCTGCCTATTATTTTGTCACTTTTTTTTACAACCAGAACCTGTCTCTGGCAATACAACGATGTATTTTGTCCTCATCAGTTACAAGCTAAGTGCAGACATCTGGTTGGCTTGCACTCCGCTTCAGTGCACTTCAAAGATCTGTGTCCTTCCAAACCAAAGGTTGGCAGCAAGACTTCAAACCAGCCTCAAGCCCGTCTGCCGGCACCATTTTCTCAACAGCATTTGCTCACTTGATGTCTGTGTGTCATATTTGGTGATTCTTGCAGTATCATGTTGTTTCGTTATTACTGTATGTGTGATGGTGACTGTGATCAGTGATAATGACTCCCTGAAAGCTCAGACGATAGCATGTTTTGGCAATGAAATATTTTTAAATTAAGGTGTGGACATTGTTTTTTAGATAGGTTACTGTGCACTGAAAAGATGACAGCATAGGGCAAACGGGACCTTCGCCATGGGGAACGAAAGATTCACTTGACTTGCTTTTTTGCACTATTTGCTCTGTGTGGTGGTCGGGAGCTGACCCTGCAGTGTCCCTGTTGTTCAAACAGCCCCTCTTTAGCTTCTTCAAGGATGTAATTCTTAGAACACTTAAAATGGAGTAGCTCTTCACCCTATAAACATCGGGGTCCCTTTATCCTCCAGGGGGTCTGATCCTGCTTTGTAAGGATGTTGGCATTCCATATGATTTTTAGAGTCCACAACCCCTAAGAAAAAGACTCCTTATTTGACTTTTGTATTTACATTAAACAACAATTAAAGATGATTAGTCTTCAGACACCAACCTTTCAAGAGTTGAGATAGAACAAGTTTGAGAATTGGTAACAGGTTGACAGTAAGGAAATAGCATTCTCTCCCGTCTGCCATCGTGAATGCCATGTTAGTATATCTGTCCTTAGCATGTGGTATAACCAATAGTGGCTGGTTTGGCACATGGCGTTTAGACTGGATGAGGCCCTCAGTATACGAAGCTAGCGAAGAGAACTGTTCCTTGAATTTGGAATTTGACAGAGAACAACTAATATATGTACACTGAATACTGGTTCCCAATAACAATTTCTAGAAAAACAATTCTGATTTAGAATGCATATTCTAAAGACCCCTCAGGGGTCACCTCGGCAAGCTGGCCACTCAGTGTTCATGAGGGAAGATGGTTTTGCTAATCTAAAACCACAATCTCCTCCTCCCAAAAAGTAAATGGAACAAATTACTCATTGCCCGTGCTTATAGGCCTCCTTTATATTCCAGCCATGCCCTTCAGATAACTCAGAACCTAAGGAGAAGGAAGCTAACAGTAATCTTTAAGTGACTCCTACAGAAAAACCCTAACAAACTGGGAAAGACCCTTACCTCACTGAGCTTCCTATGGTGTAAGGCTGGGGAGGTCACACGGGGCTCGGGCGCAGCGAGATGCCCCAAGAGGGTGCGGGAGCGCCAGCGCGGAAGGTGCCGGCCCATCGCCCTGCCTCTGTTCCCGGCCCGCCCGCGCGGCCCGGCCTTACCCACGACGTGTACTCCTTCATCTGGTGCTGGTTGCTGTGGGAGCCACCGGCGTGCCCCCTCCAGAAGCAGTCCTGGCAGAGCTGGTAGTCGTGGCACTGCTGGCATCGGTAGCGGAAGCCCATCATGCTCTCGCTGTGGCAGTAGGAACACTCGACGGGATGGAAGACTGCGGGGGAGGATGTGAGGAAAAAGGCAGAGAGCCAAGTCTGAGCGAGAAGGACAGGCGCAGCTTAGCGGGCCCACGCCCGGGGCCGGACGGCAGGCGGCGGGGCCCAGGGAGGCCTTCTGCGCACCGGCCTTGCCAAGCGTGAAATGGGTGGCGGGTAGGCGCTCTTTGACGCGAACCCCTGGAATGCCCTCTGTTTTTTCTCCTCCCACCTCTTACACCACCAGCATATAAATTACCCCAGCGGCCTCGCCGGCGCCCAGATCGCTCGGTGTCTCCGGGAGACCAGCCCAGCTCACCAGAAGGTCCGAGAACAAAGGGCGAGCAGAGGGGGCTGTCCAGCGGGCGGGGGGCCGACACGGGAGAAACGGAGAATGGGACGAAGAAAGGGAGATGAGGGGAGCAGGAAACCTCATGAGAGAACGGAATCACCTTTGTGAAAAATGTAGTGGTTAATGGGCTTAGTTGATGAGTGACACTGCCTCCATTTAACAAGAACACTTTTTGCCTTTCTTGAGGGGCAGATGGTAGGACCCAGAGAGACGTACAAAATACCCAAACACAGCTCTGATTCAGGTAGTTCAAGAGGCACTTACACTTTCTTTGGCAGGAAATTTGAATTATAAAGCAGGCAAGGTAAAAAACTAATTCAGATTTGAAGCTAACAAATGATTGAATCCAAATAGTTCTCTAGACGCCAGGAGCTGAAGATACCAAACAGCAACAATTCTTGCCTTTGGTAAAGTTATCCTTGGCTAAGTAGCCAGGGAAAATAATGCAAGTGAGTGAGAATGTGCAGGTGAAGAGCAGACTGCAGACACAAGGGCACAGCCAGCTCTGGGGCAACATCCCTTCTTCCCGGCTCCTGGGAAGGCTGGGGAGGACCTGGCTCCCAGGGTACCATGCGGGGACTCCAGGGGCACTGTGCGGGGATGGGGCTGATGGAAGATCAGGAAACACTGAGGAGAAGGAACAAAATTATAGCTTTATGCCTGGAAAACAGTGGTTCTGGCACTGGAAACAGAAATGCAGACTCATCCTGTATGATCTGGACCTCAACTGCTCTTTACCTCTGCAGATGAATAAGAAGCACAAAAATAAAACTATGTTTGGTAGTGATCAGAGGTAGACTATTAAGTTCTTAAATCTTCTCATGAGCAAAACAGGAGAGATTTATAACTTTTACCTAAAACAGAGAATAAGGCAGATGCTAAATACTCTGCTTTGGAATTTAAAATTAAACTAACTTTAGTCCCCATGTATATTAAAGAAATGTATGGAAGTAAATATTCTAGCCAAGAGATATGGGATTATATTTTCCACTTATGGCTGGAGAAATCTCAGTTAAACAATAAATAAGAACATCTAAATATTAGATCGAGGCACAGAATTGTTCTGTTTAAATTTCTTTAAATCTTGTTTTGAACTGCATTTCATATTTAAATATAGATATGCTAACTGTAATTTCTTTTATTTAGAAATAATTACTTTTATAAAAAAAGCATGTTATAACAGTTACATTATTCTTTTCTTATGCATAAGTACAACTGTTGAAAGCTTACAATGGAGCATATGACTAAAGATTAGCAAGGTGCTATCATCCAATTTTTTTCTTATCTCCTTCACCTGTTCCTGGCCAGGCACCTAGGAATAAAGTCCATGCCGTGTTTACCAGTATTGGAAATGTGCACCTAAAACAAATACTAGAAAATGTCACATTCCTAATTGAGATACTTTTCCTCTTCTAACAAGTCTTTAAGGCACACCTGACCTGTACCTGAGAGGTACACAGTGAAATTTAATAAATATTTAGAATTGCAGCACATCTCTAAGGCCTTACTAATCAGGGAGAGAGGTTAGTTCTACCCAAGCTCAGAAGAACTAAATAGACTGGGTAAATGACCTTGGCTTAATAATAATAGCCTGGATGGGCTCATTTCCATAATTTAAGGAACTGCCTTAGCTCAGTAGTGAGTACTTACCATTTTCTACATTTGCCAGCCGGTGCAGGAGGGGCAGCCAGACCAGACACTGCGGGGGGGGGTCTGACATGAGTGTGTCCAAGAAGCCATTTAAGGTGACCTTTTTCTGCATTGAAAAACCCACAGAAATTTACAACAGAGAACAATCTTAACTTACTTGCTATATAAATACTTTGAGATTGAAGAAAAACAAGACATTCAATTAACCTCTAACATATAAAGAAATAACTTGAAACTAGTTCCTAGTTTAAAACACTGATTGCTCTCTACACATCAGTACACATGGGGCTAGGTTATCTCCACTCAGCCTGGTTCAGTGTCACAAGGAGAGAAGCAATCCCAGAGGACCCCGTCTGTGTGCAAGGGGCTGTACGAAAGTGACCGGGGAAGATGGAGATGCATCTCTGCAGAATTTAACCCAGTAGGTGGTCAGGACCACACTGTGATCATGCCCCTCAGTCTTCTCAATGTGTACAACGACTTCCTGCTGGGAGGGCCCACCTGGGCCACCTCCCCACCCCTCCACCCTCCCTGGAGGGGACGATCTAATGCAGAAAGATTCTTTTCTTTCCTTTCTTCTGACTACTTTCTTCAGTCTGTATTGTCTCATGATCCTGGTCCTTTCAGATATAGAAGAGGAATGTATCATAAGCTTCTTTCAAAATGATGAAAATAAGTTTACATTAATATGTGATACTATAATAGTAGGAATGACAAAAAATTACATGTTCATATGCAAAAATCACTATTTCAGTTGACATTTTGAGTTAGGATACCAAGGTAGATGGGGCATTTTTATATTTTTGGATAAGAAATTGTCCTGAAGAGCCAGGGGCTTCCTGAGGCCCAGGCCCCACACAAGTCCTTGCAGTTCACAGGAGAGTTGCTTTTTACCTTCAATTAATCATTCTCACCAGCAGATATTTACAGTTTTAGCCTTTCCTCATAATATTAAATAGCTTAAGCTTTTTATATGATTGGTAGCAACATTATTATGAAACAGCATTTTTAGCAAAGTCTAAGTAATGAGACAGTATTTTTTTTTTAACTACCACAATTTACAGACCTAAATATGGTCTTTCAGAACAACCACTTGGGCTGGCTTGGACTTTTTGCAAAGGAGCAATTCAAACAATTTTAGAATTTTATTACTCAAACTGCTGTTATAGCCAGTTTATGAGGCATAAAAGTAAATTGGTCTTATTTTGATTCATATTGCCTCTTTTTGTACTTAAAAATCACTTATTAATTTTGACCATTCATCATACTGGTTAAAAATTACGCCTGGAAGTTTTCAGAAATATATTCTGATTTCAGCATATGTAAATTTCTCACCATTGAGGATATATTAAAGATTATAAAATTGAGAAAGTCTACAGGATACTTCAAAAGGAATTTTGAGTAATAGCAACATCATATATAAATATTTTTGAAAATACAGGTACTATTAAGTTCTCTTAAAGGTCCTATTATTCTAGTTAATTTTGAATAAGAAGTATTCTGAGGCATTAATGAATTTACTGAGGATTCTACAATTCACTACCTAAAATCTAAGAATTCAGCACTAATACAATTATTTTTGTTTCTCTGATAGAGTGAATCCATGTAACATGTGGTCACAATTCCTTGGGTTGACTGTCTGCACAAAGCACAAAACAAAATGCCACAGGGATGCTAACAGACTGGAACTGGGGTCGGGGGGCCATCGCCAGAGACCCAGGCCCCCACACCCACTCGCGTGGCCTTACGTGCTAAAAACCTCACTAGCTTGCAGGGCTGTTGTAAGGCATAACCAGCGCCAGTTCTCTGAATTACTAAGCACTACAAAAACACATGGACCCACGTGTTTAGGAAGCTGTGAGGAAAGCTGGAAAGCTGGGTAGCTGAACAAAGGTGGGTCACTCGATGGGTGTCTTGAGACAACCAATGTCCTTAAACGTTAGTTCCAGTGAGTCTTGCTGGCTCTCCGATCGGTGAGGTTCAGTACAGTGAGCATTTGTGTTGTGCCTTTTATGGGGCCGGAAAATCACCTTTCCAGGATATAAAGATGGTGAAGATAGGAGGTTTGAAGTCTTGGCCAAAAGTGACCTTTGGCAAGAAGGAGGAGCTGGCGATGGAGGAGCCATGCAGAGGCATGCCCGGCGGGGCAGGGGCTTGGGGGGAAGTGGGTAGAGGACCCCTTGGGGGTGGAGGCGCAAGCTGGAGCAGGGGAGGAGAGCTCACGGCGTCTGACACGAAATTCCATTTATTCTGCGGGTGATGCAGGCTGCTAAGTGGGAGTGTGGCCCTCCACGTGGGGCACTGTGTGGAGCAATTAGAAAGGAAGTTTCCCTCGTGTTTGCTCTGTGTTTTCATCCTGTTTTACTGTGTGTTTTGAGGGCCTCCTAAAAGGTCTTTTTGTAGTAAGGCTCTGAAATAGTTTGGAACGCAGTGGGGAATGCAATACAACAAATAAATACAACAAAAGTACACATCAAATTCAGAGGCAAAGAGATCAGTTTGGAGGTTAAGGTCAGGCAATAGATGAGGAGGAGGAAAGAGATCTGAGAAACTTCTAGAAACTGCTGTCCTGGAGTCAGCAGGACTTGGGTGAGAAGTTCTGAGTGAAGGTGTACAGAAGAAGGCACCGTGAGGTCACATCTGGGAAGGCAGCTCTAAAGAGGGGCAGGCTCTGGTGGGAAGGCAGCTCTAAAGAGGGGCAGGCTCTGGTGGTGGGCGGGGAGGGCACAGAAGTCAGCCTGGGGGTGGGAACTGGGGAGGGTCCACAGGCTTCCTGGTGGGAAACACAGGCTGGAGCTGGCACATAGTGTATCAAACCATCCCTTCTACTGATTCATGGATACATTTGTGATTCCGCATGATCCACGACCTCGGGGATGTCTGAGGCACCTCAGTAACCAGGTAACAGACTGATGCAGTTTACCAGTGGACATAAATGCAGGTTTTTCAGTGGCTGCTAGGCACTGATATCTTATTTAAGGGATCCTTTTAGAAAGGACACTTGCTTAGTTTGGATTTTTTTTTTAAATTGTCAACAAAACTTCAGTTTACGGAATTGAAAGTACCACTGTGCTATGCTAGGACATGTTGCCAGACTTGTGGACTTACAGCACAACAGGCAGGTATAAACAATGAGGGTCTGCGAACAGCAGCTCCCCTGGGGGACTTGCATGTCCCCCAGTTAAAACATGTCCCCGAACCACAAATGGATGTCATGAAACTGAGGCAGCTGTCTGTGCTGGTCCGGGCCTTCCAGATGGTGTGTGGCAGGTTCTGACTCTGTGGCTGCCTTCACTGCTACACATGGGAGAGGCCTGGTACGGAGTCAGACCAGACACATGAGGTCGTGACAACTCAGCCCTTGAGGTGCAGCGCAGTAACACTATGGACACTAAAGAATTCAGCAAGGTGCCTGGCTCAGGGTCAGGAAACACACCTATTATTGCCAACAGGTGTGATGAGTTCAGATCCTGGCTCAGGGGGCATTTGTGTGAGGCTGGAAGATACACTGTAGTGACTCAGAGTGACATACAGAAGGAGAAAAACCCATGTTTTTCCTACCTGCTGAGAGAAGCAGGATCTAGCCGCCTGTTCCGTGTAACCAAATGAAGGGCCTTCAAAAACTGCTGTGGGCAGTTTGAGAACTTCCTGTAGGAACTGGTCATAGCGTCCATAAACCATCACCCCACTGGAGTCAGAAATCATCGAGAAAATATCTGGTGGGAGGAAAAAAGCAGGCGTCTATCCACCATGCGAGCATGCCCACGACTTTAGCTCAGCCCACTTGCTGCAGACAAACATGCGACAGAACAATTTTTTATGGAACAATAACATGAAAGTTCATTTTTATGCTGAAATATTCCTGGCACGATGTTTCCTTGGGTGTTTTTTGCAGACAGTCTTAGCACATGGCATTAACTAGCAATTTGGGTAAAATTAGCATATTCTGACAAGACAGAGAACATCACATTTTTATTTTGAGGCCAGTTATCAACTTGTATATAACTCTATGGGGGGGAATTTTTGCATATATGAGAAATACGCTGACTTCATTTGAAACGCATAATGAAAAATTTACTCCAATATGTGTGTATGTGTGTGTGTGTAGAGCTATTTATCCATCTATATAACCATTAATACTCTTGGTTTTCAGTTTAAGATATTGAGAAATGACAGAATGGGGATGAAGATGTAACAGAAATACTTGATTAACTTCTCACAGAAGCAGAAAGCTTCCTGTAAACCGCAGTGTTCTGGGTGGAAGGCACCTGGACCACAGGGAAGGGCCATCTGACTTGGGATGTCCATGGGGCCTGGCCTTGTGCATGACCAACAAGGTAAAGTCCCAGGTTCTTCTCAGCAGAGTGCATGGCTTCACTGAGCCTCTGCTCTTCAGCGTCTGCCACTGTGTACTCTTAATGAATATTAGTGGCAAAATTTCCCAAGGAAGTGTAACCCTTCTGTGGAAACCACTATTGGAATGAAAGGGTTGCATAGCTCCCATGCTGGACCGAACAGGCTGCACAGCTGCTGGGATTAACCGTTGTAAATGCACTGTGCTATCTCTGTTCATTTGGGCTTCATTTTTAAGGTTCAAAATGTAACCTGAGGACATTGTTTTTACACTGCAGTCAGACGTTAAGTATATTAAAGTCTTCTATTGGATTATGTTTTGAGGATGTGAATTGGCTCTTGCTTTCTTTAATACTCCAATAATACAGGATTTCTGCTGTGCTTCAAATAGTGTATCCATTATGAGGTTATAGAATTTCTACCTGAGCAACAATATTAATGTTGTTCTCATCCACCTTCACAATGCTGCTTACCTAGTGGATTTTATCTCTTATGTTTCATTATAACAAGTGAAAAAAAATTAAAGGTTGCCAACAGCACAAGAACTCTTATGTAAATCCAAATGTAGAAACTCAAGAATTCCAATGGAAAGGGGAAAAGAAACCCCCTTTCTTTTCCCCTTGCTGGGCAGGCTGGCCCACCACACTGGGTCACCTGTGACCTTCGAGGCCTGGATATTCCAGGTTCATCCAAGCCTCCACCTGGAAGAACTCAGTGTCTCCCGAGCAAAGGCAGAGGAGCACGAACAGCACAACTGATACTGAACTCATTTGTGTGGCTGGAGCTCTGCTAGTGACTAGCCCAAGAAGCTTGGGTCCTGGGGATTAAAGCGCAGTGCTCTCAATGGCCACTTGGGCTTCCAAGAAATGAGAGGTCTCTGAGGATGCACACAAACAGAAAAACTTTCTGACAACACAGCTGGCACTGGGCTTAAAAATTAGTACTTATAGAAGGGAAAACAAAATCCTTGGATCCTGAGAAATTCCGTACCTTTTATTTTACTTTTTCTCACTACAAAAGCAACACACAGAATCATTACTTTTGCCTGTTATTAAATACTAGAGAAACCTCACAATCCTGCAGGGCAGGAGGCAGCCCTGCTGCCTGGGGGACTGGCCCGTGTTTGCTCATCTGGCTCATGACTATCACTGAAACAGGAAATGTTGGTGACTAAGGATATTCATTTTTCACTAACATTTTGAAAGTTCACTGGAGGTTCTTCCAGTGAAACTGCTAGTGTTCTGGTCAATGTGCTTCCGACCGGCTCACCGGGAAGCCACCGGACCTGCCTTCTGGGTAAGTATATAGAGTGGCTCCTTAGTCAGGCCCACCTCGGGGGAGAGCAGCATGGCGTGCCAACACCACACTGTTCTCCACAGAATCTGTGACACGGGGAAGCTCATTTTGTCAGACTGGAGAAGTTTCTCTCCAATGGGACGCATATCTGCTGCTTCTGGAGAGGGTTTGCTCCTGCCACGAGACAGCACGCATGCTGTACTCACTGACTGGGTCCTTCAGTGGGTGACGGGATCGGGTGAGGACACAGCCCTGGGGCAGGTACAGTGTTTGCTTTGAATTCCCACACTTGCAAGGACCACAGGAGTTTAATGATTGGTAAAGATCTACTCAAAACCTTTGTTATATGTTGACTTTGAAACTGTGCAGATCATGTTCATTGCTTACCTAACAACCATTCCCTTCACCTTTATTCCCCAAGTTTCTTCCTGGGCTCAGGAAAGCAGCAGCCCTCCCAGTCCAGGAGGTGACGGGGTGTCACCCCATGACCGGCACGGGCAGTCAGACCGTCCAGCCCAGAGGGTGGCAGGGGTCCTACCACCAGTAACTGGTCCGTGATACCCCAGGGCAATGAGACTGAAGGGCTGGCGGGCCTCTGAAGTGAGCTGTGCCTCCTGCAGGTGCTCTGCCCACCTTTCCCCCAGGAGGAGGGTAAGTCTGATGCTCCAGAAAGCTGAGTAGGAAGATGGAGAACTGGATCTTCGAGGGCACAGAATTGACCTGGTTCATGAAAGGCTCTGCATTCTGGTTCTCTCAGTTTTCCTCAAACTCATTTTAGCATGGGACCCTTTAATCCAGGGAGCTATTAATATAATATTGAATATTTGGGAATGTTTCTCACATTTATCTAATGTCCTCAGCATATGTGGCCACTGGCGGCCTGAGGTCAGCAGGCAGGGCCTCTGGAGCCTGTTCTGTCTGGGTCCATTTTGCTGAACTTTCTCTTCCCAGCCTAACCTGGAAGGAAATGCCTCTGGAATTACTCTGAAGCTGTTTTTTTTTTTTTTAATAAGAAAAAGGAAATTGGTTCCATCACTGTTTTATGTAACTACCATCCTCAATCAAGAACGGAGGTAGTTTTAACTTCTGATATCTTTCAGGCTAAAGTGAAACTAAGCTGGTCCTTGAGAAGTCTGCCTGGGCCCCTCTCCTCTGCCTCTGGCGGGGCCACGAGAGGGGTTCCTGGAAGGCGGGAAGGAGGACGGCAGTGCGGGGTTTCCACGTGCCTTCCTCTTGTTTGCGGTCCACTGACATGGCTCTGCCTTGGAGCATGTCTGGGGAAATTCAACGGAACAAGGGGCTTTTTTCTGTATCTCTGTCATGCTTTCCCTCCTAGTGCATCAAGAAGCAAGAGAGAGTTTAGAGGGTGTGATCACAGACGACCACAGGGAGGAGGGACCCTACAGGGATCCAACAAGATCCCCAAATCTGGGATGGAGAAAGAAGCTGAGGATTAAACAAGCGATGTATCTGTCAGGGAATGACTCAGCTAATTAGTCACAAAGCTGGATTACAACCCAGGATTCCCAGTTCCTGTGACAGTGCTCTTTCCACAGCATTATAACCTGAACTCCTAATATTTAGGGCAGGGAAAGGGTGAAATGGAAAATTTTTCTTTCAAACAGTAGCATATACATTACACAAAAATAGTTAGAAATGAAAATTCTGGCCCCTTTCCCCAGCTATACCTTCTGAATCAGAAATTCTGGGAGTAGGACCCAGAGATCTATGTTTTAAATAGCCTGCCCAGTGATTTTATACGTCTTAAAATTTGAGAACAACTGGTGTAGGGAAAAAAGTGAGGGTTCAACTCCTAGCACCATCTTACCTATGTGACCTACTTCACTCCAACTCTGAATCTCAGCTTCTTTACCTAAAACAAACTCTCACTCTTTGTAGGTTAAAAACTACCCCATTTAGTGACAAAATGTACATAAAAGGCCTCTCCTCACTCACCACTTCAGCTGTCGTGTTTTCATTGGAACCCCGGTAATTCTCAGACAGCACTCCACTTGTGCCATCTCCGTGCCAGTCCCAGCAATGTCTGCTTGGGACCTTGCAGCTCCCAGTGACTGGGCTGCAAAGGATGGGAGTGTGTGGCAGGAGCTGGCTTTGGGGGACCTAACCATGGCCCAGAGTTTGTGCCCTATGCTGATGGAACATGCCTGTAGGGCAGGACAGCACAGTGACCTTTAAAGGATGCATATCTCACTTTAATCACAGTCTAGTTGACACTCAACAGGTTATAAATAATAATAATAATAATAATTAGGAGGAAAACATTCATTTCATTAGCATTTACAGAATAAGAAATATTTCTCAGACAAAATAAAAAATCAGTGAGGGTCATATTTCAAACAACTCTTAAGGAACAAGGAAAGTCACAAGTGGGCGGGAACGGGGAGAGGAAGGTGCAGAAAATGGGAGGGGGAACAAAGAGACATGCAACGAATACCTTACATCTTAATTTGTCCATGATCTTCCCTCCACACAATGTGGCTAACGCCATTTTGACAGCAAATATTGAAATTTTACCATGGCCTTCCCTGTTTAAGATAATTGGGAAAAAAAGATGTTATTTGGAGAACTTTCCACAATGCGGTTTGACATTTTCTGTTTTGTAGTAATCGTAGGCCACAGAGCTGCATGCATTATGTGAGCACAGCCACCCTAGAAAAGGTTGTGAGCACAGTTCAACATACATTTCCGAGAAACTGTCTATTCAATATTTCCTTTTTTCAAGACATAACAGAATCCTTAAGTGACTCTGTGTATGTGTCAGTTGCTCAAAACCCGAACTGACAGTTGGAGAGACATGTCCTATTTGACTATGGATTGAAATGGCATAACGTGCTTTCCCTTTGAGTTTCCTAAAGCAACTTTATGCATGATGAGTACACAGTCTCTGTAATTTATTTAAACAAGGCTTTAGGAAAATCTTTTTTTTTGTCAGAGAATTCCCCAGTTCGCTGCAGTAACTATGGGGGCTTTTCCATCACACCTTTTTTCAGCCATCATTTTCTACCCACATGTCAGCTGTGCTTATGATGTGTTTGCTTGTCAAAGGGAGGGCTTCTAAAGGGGCAAAGTCATCCTGCTTTTCCTGAACGACAGAAGACCTGCCCAGCTGTCACTGATATGGGAATGGTAACTGGTTCAGCCTTCGCACAGTGCCGTGTAAAGGGCTCACTGCCTGAGGGTTTCAGCCACGTCCCCTTCCAGCTGGAATCAACGTTTAGGTGGTCCTATCAGTAGCTCACTGTGCCGACAGCTGCTGCTCTCCAAGGCGGTCAAAGGAGTTATTTAAAATTAGAATGTGTCTGAAAGGTAAGTGAAGTCTGTACTGACAAGAGTTTTGTGTACAAAGTCTTTACAGGAGTAAGATTCATATATCTAACATTCCAGAAGAATAAGATTTAACAAATACCGTGTCTTTGCTCCTCACTGACTTGGGAGAGAGAGCGCCTGCTATTCACCTCTCAGCACAGTGCCTGAAATACAGCTAGCCGGGTGCAAAGCTGACTGAACCTTATGCTAGCGGCCCTCCCATTTATATTTCTAAAGCTGAGCACCAGTCTTATCCAATTCTTTATTGGAAATCTTTACTTGAATATCCCATGTCAAACCCAGCATGGTCAAAGCAGAACTCATTATCTTTACAAAGCCCCTTAACAGTCAGGCCAGCTGACCAGTGGCCTATTCCTTCGGAAGTCCCTCTCTGGTCGTCATTTACCCAAAATGAACCCTGGGAGAGGGGTCACCTTTGACCTGCTGCTCTTCCTTAATTCACTACCACCTTAATAAACGTTCTAGGGACTCAGGTGTGCCTCCAAATGGTCCATCATGCCCAGCGCGTGCTTCCCGTCTGCCGTTGCCTCCATCGGCTTTAACACTGTATAACTTCTTAAATGATCTCTCTGCTTGCACACTGGTACCACAAATCTGACTGTATTATTTCATTATTTAAAATGCTTACTGCCTCCAGGATATGGTTGTAACCTTATTTGTCTTCTCAGCCTCCTCTGCTGCAGTTTGCACTGCCCTCCACGCACTAGTCTTGCCGTTCAGTGCCCTGCTCTGCCCACCACCGCCTGCCCGCGACTCTCCCCCGACTCAAGCCTCAGCTCGGTGCCCTCATTCACTCCGCGATGCAAGCAGCTTCCCCGCGGACGTGGTGGCCATGGTTCCCCTGCTCACTTTCCCCTATTACTTGGCACCGATCACCTGGGGGACCTCCATCTGTCCACATGCCTTCAGGCAAGCCGAATCCGGCCGTGAGACCCCTGGGGGCAGAGACCACGTCCCGAATCAGTTAGAGTCCCAGCGCCTTGCACTTTGTCTCACACAGTGAACAATGATTAAGAAATCATTAATTAATGTCTATTAATGATAATAGGTACCCCTAGAATGACCACTCACTAAGTTGTTAACTAATTTTAGACAGACAGCTATAATATAAATGCAATGATTCTGTAAAAACCACCTCTTTCAAAATTATTCCATGGTCCCTACATTCCCAATTGCAGGGGTGACTAGAAGTATCAAAAATTTATTTTAGTAAACAATTAAGCTTCTTTTCCTAAGCTGAAACATGGCTCAAATAATGAGAACAGGAAAGTCTACAAAGTGTGAAATAACAGGAGTCACACAGCAATAACGTAACCTTCAAAATGCAAAGGGAATGAGGAGCATTACAGGCGAGACTTTGAGAGCAGTGCAAGCCTCTCAAAGCCATCAGAGACGGTCTGACTCAACACGGAGGACAGACCACAGACGATGTGGAGGAGAGAGTTCCTCAGAGGATGAAGTGAGGACAGCTCATGGCTGAAACCTCAAACCTTAGCTTTTAAGGAAGATCTTTGGGAGATCACCAGTCCTGCACTGTTCCTGGAAATGCAAGATTCATGCTGCTATATCCCACAGGGGCCGATCAGAGCTACTCTGCCAAACTGATGCAATGAATCTAGATGAATCACCGAGCGGAGGGAAGCTCAGTGAGAGTTTTGCAGGAACTGAAGGGTGAGATTAGGCCCTCGTAATGTGATGCTAGGCAAGCTCCTGTGCAGATTGCAGATGTGACCCCTGGGGGTAAGGATGCAGGAAGGTGGATGCAGTGAGCACGGCCATACCAGGTGGGGGCAGCCTCGCTCAACCTGGGACCGGATACCCCCTGGAGGAGGCCAAGGGGCAACGGCAGTGAGGGTCCACAAGGGGAATGGGCTCCACAGGCTTAGACACCAGCGGATCTTCTTAGGGACATTGTCAGAGCATAACACAGAATGAAGAAAATGAGGAAGGAGAAAGAATTCCGGAAGGCCTTTGACAAGATTCCATAGCAAAGGCCAGTACTTAGTTACCTTGGGGTCAGGGTTCCTGTTTTTTGTGAAAAAAGAACAGGCATATCGACAACGCCAGGAGCAGGGAAGCGCAGGGAAGCGGTCGGCCGCGTGGAGGCGCTGTGCCCATCGGGGGCCGCCGCTGGGGAGAAGCGCCCTCGGTGCCCCGGAGGTGGGTGTCGGGGCCCCGAGGCTGCACGGCAGAGGCTCCAGGGTCTGTGCGAACAAGAAGGGAAGCGGCGTTGCTCCAGCGCCCCCATCTCGGCGGACCCCGTGTCTGTGCGAACAAGAAGGGAAGCGGCGTTGCTCCAGCGCCCCCATCTCGGCGGACCCCGCGAGCGTGCTGAGGGGCCGCAGCGTGGGGCGCCACGTGCGGGAGCAGCGCCCAGGGGCACCGGCAGGAGGTGCAGTGCAGCCGCCTTAGGGGACCCGCGCGCTGGCTCCTCCGGGCCCGTGGGCGCCGCTGGCGCCGGTGAATCTCCCGCAGAGTAAAGGGTACAGCAGGGGTTTAAACTTAACTATAAGCCTCTGTTATAAAAGGAGTAATTTTATTTTTGAAGTAAAAATTTTACTTATTTTAAGTATTTTCCCTTCATTGTAGAATGAGAACACAGTGCATAATAAACACTTGATTCTTTTTTTGCACTACTTTTTTTTTGCGTAATGGGATACACTCTGTTTTTAAGACAATTATCGTTGCTTACACAGACTTTACTGGTCTAGGTTGGTGTCAAAAAAATCAATCAAATCGTTAAACTGATAATTAATACCGAAAAGGGTATTTAAGAGAGCCAGCAAATTATCAAAAGCACGAACTGAAATTGTTCACAATGTATCTTTTATTTTCATTTATATTTATTTTGTTTTCTTACTCTGAAAATTTTCAAATTTCCCTAAGAGGTGACTGATTGAAAACGGAAACAGGAAAGCACTTCCATTTGGTCAAAATACAAATGGAGATTTGTAGAGTGTCTGCCTTAAAAACATAGATTACTTAAAAGCTTCACTCATAATAAAAACTGATTGACTGCATTGTGCTGGGCTTAGTTTTCCAGGAGCACAAAGAGATGCACAAATTTCTTTTTAACTAAAAAGATATTATTTTTAGGGAAATGTCTGGGAGGGGAAATCTGCTTTTGACATGAAAGGAAAACAGTGAGTTAGATGCTGATAGATTTGGGTGCTAGGCTGGACTGGGAACAGAATAGTACGTTTTCTCTAAGTTGCCAACAGAGCCTCCTGTTGAAGTTCAGGGTACCAGGATAAATTTCAGCTCCTCAAAGGTGAGATTTAAATTTTGATGGATTCTTTTCTGAACTGGCCAGAGGAATTACTTCTCTAAGGAAGAGCAGTCAAACCAGAAGCTCTTCTTAAACCAACATATTTTACAAAAGCACTTGGTAAGCATTTTGAAAAGCACAGCGGTCAAACTGCTCTTTCTCACACATTTTGGTGGATTAATTAATGGAATAGCTTCCTCCTCTGGCTTCCACAACATGTCTCTGTCATAACAAATTCTTTATGGGGAATTCATTTTGTTCACATGGATCACTCATTTAATAGCTCAGTAGATATTTATTGGCAATGCCTCAGAGGTTGGGATATAAAGGTGAATAAGATGTAACTCCTACCCTCCATTTGCTCATAGTCTCCTGGGAAGAAAGAATCAAGACCAGTTAATGTTAATGTAGCACATTTTTACAAAGGGCAGGTGCCTCCTCTTACTCATGTATCATCCCCAGCCTCGCCTGGTACCCAGCACATCGCAAGCTCTCACTGTTAGCTAAATTAATGAATGCACAAGCAAAATAAACTTTCTGACCCCTTAAGGTTTAGGTTGAGAAATATTTAGTGTTTGAGCAAAATCACAAAGATGGACTTTACGGCCCTTAATATGTGATTGTGCTGTCACATGATGCCTTGAATTTACAGGTGGTCACATACATACCTACTCGTTTTGGGGATAGTGAGGTTAACACGTGAACAGATGGAGACCTCTTATCTGGCCCTGGCATATCTTTGGGCTCCCCGTACTGCTAACAGAACATCCGGGAAGAATTCCTTACAGCACTGGGTCTGGTTTGCCAGGACCTGCTTCAGAATGGAAAGCACCAGTACTGTTGACAGGTCTCCTTACTGCCAGGGGCTTCCATCTATCACTCATCCAAAGAATAAATCTGACATTAAGGGGTGCTCAATTTGTCTGCAAC